TCATCCAAGGGTTACACAGATTTTTAGAACGAATTGTTTTCTTGGTTTTTGGAAAAGCTTATTCGCATTGTTTTAAAAATAAGCGTTATTACATTAGAAAGTTTATATAACTTATGAATGTGTGTGTGTGTGTGTGTGTGTGTGTGTGTGTGTTAAAAATATATAAAATATAAAAAAACTCATAAAATAAAAACAAAAAGATAAAACTCTAAAAATAAAACGAATAAATATTCATTTAGTCTAAATCAATTAACCTCATTTTGACCATCCTGGGTAAAAATTTCTTAAAAAACACAAGAAAAACACAAATCTGCACCCTATATCACCAATATTTTTGAAACTTGGCACAAATGTTTATAGACATATGTTAGGAAAGATTGTAATTTTTTTTGATAAAATTCCTTACCGTTTATAATTTACAGCAATTTGAAGTTTCCTTGATTTTGACTAAAAACTGAGGGGGGAAAAGTGCCAAAAATCATTCCGTTTACTTTCACCTTATATGGTGCTTGTAGTGATGCCACAATTCTGAAACTTTGTACCAAAAGAGTTTAAAACCTGTTAAATCCGAAAAATATAGTTTTTTATATGTCAAAATAAGGGAATGTAGCTTATTTTAAGATCCATAAAATACACTTTATAACGCCGAGAAAAATGGGCATTGACAATTATAGCTATAATTAAATCTGACTGATATAAAAAAAATTTAATTTCGATTTTCTTAAAAATAAGATCAACACCTACTTTTCGAACCAATTTTGTTTTGGCCTTATATTTACTTGAGGAATTATTGATGTTTGATATAGACACAAAATTTTTTATTATTTTTAAAATTAGACACCTAATATAACCCCACCTTTTAGCAATCAATCAAATTAGAAACTAAAAATTTAGTGACTTTATTATCTTTTTTATTTTCATATGATATTTACAACAAAATTTAAACGTATATAAATTTTTTTTTTTAAATACTTAACTTTAGTGATTTTATATATGCTTTACATTCACATTATTTACAAGTTGGTTCACAAAACATAATATTTAAAAAAAGAATGGATAAGACATAATAGACTCATAAATATAAAAATCTCTACTTCTTTAGGAAAATAATTTTTTTAAGTCCTCTTTGGCTAAATAGTAGCAAAGACCTGTTTTTGTTATCGGTACCTCAACTTTGCAAATAATGTGGACATCAGGAATCTAGCATTGGCTTTCCTTTGGTGGCCATTTAAACGACCGTACAGGACCATTAGGACACATAAATTTTACAAGCACATCTTTTTCTTTTAAATTAATATCTTCAATGACTCCTATCCACCACTTTTGCTCATAGGAAACACAGGCATAATCACCTGGTACTAGGTTTACAGTTGTTATCTATTATTATTTCCATAGTTATGAATTAAAGCAAATTCTTCATCAAAACTGCATAGCTTAGTGCCTACCCAGCAGGCACAATGACGTTGAAATAACGTTGAAACAACGTCGCAAACCAACCATATACCACGTGGAAACAACGTTGAAATTTGGTTGAATTGGAAATAAAATCCGACGTCGAAAACTACGACGTTGAAACAACGTCGATGATTACGTCGTTTCAACGTTGATCTAACGTCTTATCGACTATATATCAACCATATTTCAACTTTGAATAGGTGATATACTCGGTTGATACGTAGTTGATAAGACGTTAGAACAACGTTGAAACAACGTAAATTCAACGTTGATTTTTTTATTTTATTTTGGTTAAATCCAATTAACTAAAAAATTATCTCAACTTTAATTGCAATAAAATAATACAATAAAAAAGCAATAATTTGCGCAGAGGATATTATATTTCACGTAAATTAATCAGATACAACTAAATTGCTTCAACGGACTTTATATACAATGCAAATAAAGTAAAATGTTTGAAAAAAAAAAGTTTTATTTATCAGTAATATATTTATCAATTTATCAATAATAACTATTATCAACAGTTCCAGAACAACTAGGAAAAAGTATGAATATTATACATCGGGTGAATCGCCTTTTACGCGCCGACCACCACCATTTGATCTGTCGAGTGCGTATTTTAATAAAGTCATTATTCCTTTTCTTATTTCGGCAACTGTAGCAGTCACTTTAATTGACAAAACGCTCTCTATGAAAAAGGTATTGCCTGAGTAATTTACATCAAATACATCAAAAAGTTAAAAAAATAAATTAGTATTAAAAAAACGAACTGTGATTTTTTAAAAATATATAATTTTACACTTAACTTACAAGTAAATACCTAATGTTTGTTCCTTTAAACTTCTCTTTAACCCTTTACCGCCAGCCATATTATAAACCATTGGTTAACAACCTGCATTATACATTGTTATTATTATTATAGTTACATTAAAAATTGATAAACATGTCTTTTACAAAATGCAAATTATTCTCAATCAAAAATTGCACAAACCGCAAAGGTTTCTTGCCAAACCGTAATGCAAGTAAGAAAAAGAATTGATACAAGGGAAGAGTTTGGTCCAAGGAGACCACCTTCTAAACGCAAGAAAACACCAAGAGCGGACAGTATAATCAGAAATATCTGCCTGGAAAAGAGAAAAAAAGCCACTAAGCTTATCCATGAAGCTGTAATTGTTGTGTCAGACCGGACCATTTGAAGAAGGCTAAAAGAAGAGGGATTGATGTCCAGCCAAAAATGTCAAAAATTGACAAAAAAATTTAAAAATTATGTCCAAAATCTTATATTTATGCAAGATGGTGCAACTTGCCACACAATAAAAACTGTTATGGCTTAGTTGATGTATTGCTATAGCCAGACAACTCGCATGATCTTAACCCCATAGAAAATATTTGGGAAATAGTAAAGCGAGGGATTGGAAAAAAAAAATCTTGCTAATAAGCGAGATCTTATGGAAGAGATTATCAAGATCTAGCATAATAACCCAGAGTTGACAGAAACTATAAAAAATAAATTGCAAGCATGCCACAATGCAATGAAGCAGTTATTGCAAATAAAAGTGTTTTTGCAAAATATTTATACTTAATATATATTTTATATAATTTATCATAATAATCAATAAATATTCAAAATGTTCATCTTTATTTATTTATTTTTATCAAGTACAACTTTATAAATAAAAGAAAAAACTTTAAATTGCACCATTATTATTATTATTATTATTATCATTATTATTATTATTATATATATATATATATATATATATATATATATATATATATATATATATATATATATATATATATATATATATATATATATATATATATAATATTCATATAAGCACATGTATGTATATATACATACATATATATGTATGTTTATTTATGTACATATATATGTATGTATATATAGAGTAAAAAAAAAAGGTTAAGTATGCGTTACAAATCAACCTTTGTTATTTAAGGTTGTTCTTTAGCTCAAGGAAATACAAAAGTAAGAGAAAACAGTTACAAAAAAAATTATAATCAGACATAAAAAAAAAAGATTTATTTTATGTCTGATTAGAATTCGTCAAACTTTTAAAAATATATGCTACACAGATTTTTAACACAAGTTTAAAACAAACTATAATAAAAAGTTTCAAAAGATTTTTTATTTAAAACTACTTTTAACAAACCTTTGCATCACATGTATTTGTATTTGTCTTAATGGTTTTACCTCCAATTTTAGAAAGTTTGTTAACCTAAAGGTTTAAGAAAATAATTACACCACATTATTTTTATGGTACATTTATAAAAAGTTACAAGTAGATTAACTTAGGCTAAGTTATTAATAAATACTTAATCAAAAAACAATAAAAAAAACTGCAAAAATTCATGGTTTGAAACAACCCATCACTTCTGACCTCACCCAAGAATCATTTAAAATGTTATCAAAATCATTAAATTACTGCTTAAAGTTCATCCATAGAACTTCAGAACTATTTGTCATGATATTACTTTAATTACTGGAAAGAGTTTTTACTAACATCTCTTTCTAACAATAAAGATATATCAGAAAGACAAAAGAACCAAACATTAATTAATTTCTAAAAGTGTTGAAACACAAGAACAAAAAGTTTATAAAATAAAACATTATTCATAAATTAAATAAAATGTATTAATTTAGCAACCAAAGAAATGTTTAAATTACTGAAGCATAGAAAAAAATGTTCAGAATCTTTTCTTCCTAAATCAACTTGCAGACACACAATTAGTACCTTGAGCTACAGTATGTGGAGTATGCATAAAAAATGTTTTCTGTTTCTTTTTTTGCGTTACAAGAGTAGGTATTTGCTTACTTTTCTGTTGGTTATTATGTTTTCTCTTGCATAAGCATGGTAGTGGCTCCTATAAAAATTAATATCAAAATATAAATAACTAATAATACTTGAATTAAGTATCTTTTGAAATTATATATTATAATAACAAATAACAAGTAAAGACTTAACAAGTTACTTATTAGCCCAATAAAAACAAGTAAAGTCACACATGCTAATAAATTAGGTCATCTGTTGCCTTTTTATAAGGTTTTGAATTTGACAATTTAACAATAATACATGGCTTAACTTGTGATGCAGTTAGTTAGGTAAATATTAAATGGATATTTCTTTATGACCGTATTATTTCATGAGTGTGGATTACAAGTAGAGACTACTTGATATATTATATAAATATAAAATATATATTATATATGTTTTTCTTATTTATATAATATATATATATATATATATATATATATATATATATATATATATATATATATATATATATATATATATATATATACAATAAAAATATATATATATATATATATATATATATATATTTTTATTGGGCTAATAAGTAACTTGTTAAGTCTTTACTTGTTATTTGTTATGTTGATAAAAAATTTTTAAGTCATGCATGCGTATTTTAGTTATCATATTGCAATTACGAACGATCGAACTCGTAATATAGACGTTGAACTAACGTGGAATCAACTTCGATTTTATTTGATAGTTTTAAACAAATTTTTCAACGTTGATACAATGTTGATTTTTGGTTATACGACGTCACGACTAAAAATCAACTGTAAATCAACGTCAAAATAACGTCGTGTGCCCACTGGGTACCTAAACAAAATAGTAACATATGCAATTGTTTCCTTTTACTTATCAAACATGTTTTATGAAATGCATAGATAGCAAATGCAGAGGAAATAAAATAAAATACAAATATTTTTGATAACGATTCTGCAAAAATCTAATATCTATTTGAGTTTATCAATAAAAGTTATACCAAAGTTAAATCTTCTGATGAAATATATATGAAATTTATGCCTTCAATGTTTTCATTGTAATATTTATACATTGTTTGTGGAGATAAAATATGATTATCCATATCTCTTTGCAAACTTGCTAGTGTTGCCAGACGTTTGACTGTACCACCTATCCCATCACAAAGTTGCTTACTAGTTGCAAAAAAGTTCCATTTAGCAGTAAAACCAAAACCTACACAATGGAAACAAAGATTTAACATATTTTTGCAATTCTTATATTGACCTGCACACCCATCTGAAAAGTATTCAATATTTTTTATTTGAGGCAAATTTGTTTTTATATCATTGCAAACAACCTCAATAATTTTATAAACCATGTTCACATCATGGATCATATCATCCGAAATAATACAATAGGATTTGTGCTTGAGAATGCCTTCTTTTTTGAAATAAATAATCACTGGATGAAGTGTACATTGTAAATTTGTTCAATGAAAGCTTTGCACTTCATCCTGAACTACAAATTTATAGTTTTCTGAAAAATCACCCAGAAATAATGCTGTTACCTCATTCATATCTTTCTTTCTTGATCTCAGGGATAATGCTTGACTCTTTGCTAAATACGATTGTGGTGCAGGTTTTTCCAGTTTTCTACATACTAGTTCAATGTATTCAAACACTGGCTCTTTATTATGTGTCAAGTTTGACCTATTTGTTATTGTCCATTGATCAAATTCAATCTCATCATCATCTTCAAATCTCAAAGTATATCATAAAGTTTTTCAACCAATGCATTCATAGTTGCTGGGCATTTTTCACATTTCCTCATCATACAGTCTTTATTAGTTATATCACAGACAATATAAGGTAACAATTCTATGTATGTCACACCAAGAGGATGTAAAAGCAGTTTCAAATTCTGATGAATAGCACAGACGCATACAGAATGTGTTCCTGAGGCACCAACAGTAATACACCATTTAGGTCGCAAGATGCAAAACCTTGAAAATCCTATTTTTATTTCTGGGTTCTTGGTTTTAAAGGTAACAAACAATTCCTTTAAATTACATAAGAGCAAACGTTTTTGCATGTGGACATTTTTCTTTATGCTTACATAGTCCTTTTTACCAGGCATTATACGACTATGTTCATCATCTTCGTAAAAGGTCTTGACCAGTTGAACTGTTACATCAGGAAGAGCTTTTCCTAATTTAGGATTAGGCATGCTTAAAATACCTTTTTCTAATGTTAACTTATGTGCAGTTCGAGCTACATAGTTTGTTACATGCAATGTTTCAGGTACCTTTTTTATTGACCAGTCTGTTAGAGCAAATGTCGCAAGTTGTACTTTTTTTGATGTTGATGTAGACTCTGCAATTTTGTTAGTTAACAATACCATCATGTTATCAAACAAGTTTGCTTTTTCCATATACTCATTATTAAAACTTGACTGTTCTTCAAAACTTTCTTCTGATATATTAAGGGAAATGGCTACCTTTTTTTTAATGGAGGTTGTTAATGCTGTCAATTTTCGTTTACCTTCTCTGATTTTACCTGACTTGTGCAATCCTTTGACCTTAATTGGAGATACTCCGGCAGATGCAAAGTGTGTATCTACACTTTCTTTTTTATTTTGAATGGATCTTTCATTAACAATATCAAAATCTTCATCGTTTTTATTTTCACTTATACTTTTTGATAAACATATAACTTTACTTCGACAGGTTGGACACAGGTTTTTCCAGGTATAAGGTTTAAACCTATGGTTTCTGCTTCTAACACAGTATGCATTGTAATCACACATAGAGATGCTTAAAAAGAAAGTAATACATTACTTAAATAACATTAATTATATATATTATGTAATTATATTAGTATACAATTTGTTATATTAATAACTATGAAACATTGAACAAATCTTATTACCAAAAAAACTTATATGACTTATTTATAATGATATTACCTAATGAAATATAAATATATAAATTTTTACTTCTACACACCTTTTAGTGACTCAGAAATGGATTACAGCAACTTTTCTGATTACCCTCATATCTTACAACTAACATATCATGATGGTGTGTGCATATATTAGTAATTGTTGTTTTAGATTTGTTCGTTTTTCAAGTAGCTTACGATCATTGCTATCAATATCTTCAATCAGATTTCTTTCTTGAGTATATGATTGTTTATAACAAGCTCCATAATTATTTAGTTATGTAACTTTTATTTAGTTATGTAACTTAACATGGTAATGTTAATTAGACATTATTATACCATTTTATTACTTTTTTTATTGATGATAATAAATGTTTTATTACAACAAAACAATCAACAACAAAAGTTACATAATATTGTTAAATTTAATGATATGATATTATGTAATGAAAATGACATTATTATTATGTAATGAAAGTAAAAAGAAACAAATTTATAAAATGTTCAACAATGTTTTGTAATAACTTTGTAAATTTATTACAAAGCTATTACAAAACAAAAATAATTGTATTTGTATTCAAAATATACTTGCAAATTTTTTTTTTTTTGCAAAATATCTTTTGAAAAATTGAAAAAGTAAAACATCAATAACTCCTTAATAAAACATAAGGCCAAATAAAATTTGGTTCGCAAAGTAGATATATGTTTAATATTTAAAATAACGAAAATCAAAACTTTTTTTCATCAGTCAGATTTTTTCTAGAACTATAGTTGTCAATGGCCTTTTTTATTGTCATTAACAAGTGCGTTTTGTGGATCTAAAAATAAACTATATTTTATTGTTTTGAGAGATATAAGTTTATGATTTTCAGATTCAGCAGGTTTTAAACTCCTTTGGTACCAAGTTTTAGTTTCGCAAGTTTGTTAAAAGGGTAATGGTAAATTGACATACTTCCGGCTTTATCCCCCCTCTTTTTTCAGTCAAAAAATAACTAACTTCAAGTGACTATAAATCTTAATGGGTTGAGAATTTTTTGAAAAAATTTTACAGTCTTTCCTAACTTATATCTTTAAACATTTGTGCCAAATTTCAGCGATTTTGGTGATGCAGGGTGCAACTCCTTGTTTTTTGAGAAATTTTTACCCTCCGGTAAAATTTATATAGCTGTAAAGTTTGTGGCATTGTTATAATGCCATGTAGCTTGTAATAATAATATAAAAAAATCATTAAATTGTTTTCTATGCAATCTCCTTCGTTTTGTTATTCTCTATAACTAATTTTTTATTTAATTTTTTTCTTTTAATGCATATATTTTTATTTCCTTCTAAATTATTATGCTTAAAACATTCTGACACATAACAAAACTCTCCTAGGACTTACACTTCTTCAACTTTTCTTTCCAAGTTATTAACATTTCTTTTTTCTTTTCTCCTTTTTATCTGTTATATTATTTTGTTATTGATATTATTATGGTTTTTATATATATTTTTTTGCATTATTATTTGCTGCTAATCACTATTTGCGGCAAATGTTTTATTTTGAATGTAGTATGTAGGTTAGTCTGTTTTATAGTACTGTATTTAATATTATTATTACTAATTTTTATTATTATTATTCAAATTATTATTCAAATTATTATTATTTCAATGATCTTAAAATGCCAGCGCGCACTGTGAACTTGCTTTCAAAGAACTGTATTAAAAATGAAAATCGCGCGTGATATTAATTCACGCTTGACAAACTTTTTTTAAATAAACTGCCAGTGCGTTCTCTAAAAATTTACCGATCGTATTTTATTTAAACCACTAGATTTTTTTTAGTTCGAAACAATTGTGTTTTAAACCAATCAAAAGATAAAATATACAATTTAATTCATTTTTGAGCCGAAAGCCAGCTGTTTGAGTTAGTTACGTAAATGCGGTAGGAAAGTGAGGAATATGTTTTAAAGTAAGAATAACAATTTTTATTAAGTTTTATAACAACAACAATTTGGATAATTTTTTTTAAAGCGAATATTGTTTGAACTTAATCTGATTATTATAAATTTTTTGCGCTTTATTGAACTGTGAAGCTTCTTTTTTCAAAGAAAAATTTGATACAATCAGCAACAAATAACAACAAAAAGATATCAATAAATAAAATAAATTAACCAATAAAGATAAGATGACAACGAATGAACGATTTCTAGAAAACACACTTGAAAAAGTGATCAACATATTAGCATCTCTAAAAGAAAACCGAGCTCGCACAAATGAAAATCTTTCAAAGGAATTTAATGACAGTTTTTTCCCAACTCCTCCAAGAAGTACGTCATCTTCTCCTGCCGAGAAAATGTTAAATAATGATATTAAAAGAATAGATACAGGGGGAAGTAATAGTTTCTTGTCAAATGATCCGTTATTTACGCTTTCTTCCAATTCTATTTCATCTGAAAAAGACATAACGTTTGCTAGTGAAACAAATATTGCTGTTAAGAAAAATAAAGACACTCAAAATGAAATAAAGAAAACCCATAAATGTAGCTATGAAAACTGTTCTAAAAGTTATGGTAAAAGTTCTCACTTAAAAGCGCATATAAGAATTCACACTGGGGAAAAACCATTTGTTTGCTCCTGGAAAACAGGAAATATTGCTTGCGGAAAACGATTTGCTCGTTCCGATGAACTTTCAAGACATCATCGTGTACATACAGGTGAAAAAAATTATGTTTGTTCTGTCTGCTCGAAGCGTTTTATGAGAAGTGACCATTTATCAAAACATGAGCGTCGACATGCTGATTTCAATTCTTCTACTAATATAAGTAGTGCCCCTCGACAAATAGAAAATGTTTTTTCCTCATTTGCCTTGAACAATACGATGAAAACAATTGAGTTTAAATATAACGATATTTTCACGCCAAAACAAGTTATTTCTTGTCAAAGGAGCGAAACAAAATTTTAAAAAGTTAAAAACGAAATTTAAAAACAAGAGAAGTATTGTACAAAAAAAAAAAAAAAACACATTTAAAGTTTCAGCAGTTTTATTTTTCTAAACAATAAATAGTTTCGTTAAACTATTTATTGTTTAGAAGGAGTTATCTACTTTTGCGAAAGATTTTTAATACTTCATTTCTTAATATGAAAAGATTTTACATTATAATAACCGCGTTATAATTGTTTAGACAATATAACATACATACATACATATATCCATGCATACATACATATATACGTAAATAATATAATAATACATATATATATATATATATATATATATATATATATATATATATATTTATATATATATGTATATATATATGTGTATATATATATATATATATATATATATATATATATATACATATATATATATATATATATATATATATATATATATATATATAAATATATATATATATATATATATATATATATATATATATATATATATATATATATATATATATATATACACGTATACATAAAACAAACTTTTTGAATAGAGCATGCATAATACATGTATTATTCGAAAGAAAAAATACGTTTCTTTTAACTTGTTTTTGAAGAAGCTGCATTGCTGATCAGAACTAATTTGATTTAAATAGTTTATATATAAATAATTTAAGCTATTTATCTTTTATATTTTGCATCTATTGTATGATTTTGTGTCCTAATTCTGGTCCACTTAAAGATATTCAGAAAGACCTCCTCCACCTTCGTCCTTTTATAGAAGATTTTATTTTAAATAAAAAACTAAAATAAAGTGGAGAGAATTAACGAAATCGAATTAATTCGTTCTTTAGACTTTCGTTTCAACGTCGAAGGAAAATCTAGTTATTTAGTCGAATGAACAATGGTAACGATAAACTTTTCGGTTTTCTTTAAAGACTTTTGTATCTGTTCAATTTACTTCACTGTTAGTATAGGAAAGAGTGGGGAGAAGTGGGACGCGTAAATTTTTTTTTGAGGGTTATTGCAATATCTTTCTTATTTGATGTATAAACTGAACCAAACAAGTTTTTACAAATAAATCTTCTTTTTAGGCACCGGTTCAATCCCCTAAGGTTTCCTGGCAGTTATAACTAAGTATATAAACTTTTGCTTTTAGAGAAACCGTGCCATTGGAGTAAAGTGGAATAAGTGTGAGTAGAAGTGGGACAAATAAATTTAAAACAACATTTTAACACGAATTTAAAATAGAAACTGATAAAATCATAAAATCACCTAATCGACATAAAAATGTTCAAGAGCTTTCACCAATCGAGATAATCAAATGGCCACGAGAAAAAACGGGCATAAATATTTCTTTTTTCTGTCCCAACTTCACCACAATGTAAATACTTTTTTAAGGTACATTTTTTAAGGTTTTTATAATAATATACATTTGTAAAACATTTTATATTATTAGGAGAGCTAGCCTAACTAGTCTTTTTTGTAATATAAATATTCCTAAGTTTCTTGTAGTATAGACGTTCCACTTTTATCAGTTTGAGTTTAGAGAAGCTTAGCTCACCACTAACCTCATAAACAGAAAGTTTTAAGAAAATTCTTTGAGCTTTTACTGTTGAGGGTTTAATTTAATTTTTAATATAACATTTTAATACATGAAGCGATATACATCTAGCAATTTGTCTTGAAATGGGTTTCAGTTCACCGCTTATCTCAACTGGGTTTAGTCTCCATGTTGCAAAGCTTTGTCATAATTTTATTTCTCATAACCTTCTTTTTAATTTCAAAAACTGTGAACATATTGAGGAAACAAAAACCAATTAATTGCATCGGAGTGAAATTTTCTTCAACGGTTTTATTGTTGCGGAAGTGCATTTAAATGTGGAAGTGCATTTAACCAGAAAGTTCACGCCTACTTCCTTACCGTGACGCATAATATGATATATTTAAAGGTTATATGCTTCAGGTATATATTTATTTTATAAGTTATATAGATGTTCTTCTTGTAGAAGAAAATAGTGTTTTAATATTGTTAAGGACTTCGTGATACAATCTTCTTGAAATCCGGAACGTCTTATAAATCATATTGTAAATTATATTTTACGGCAAATAATATTAATAAATATCGGAAACAGCAATCCGCAGGCTAAATCAACTTAAAAAGGTTTGTAGGAAAAAGACTGCAAATTATAATTATAGTATCAAGATTTTGTTTATCAAAGATTTTATTTTGAAGTAACTGATTTAACTCGAGATTCAGAAAAAGTTTTACAGTTAAAAAAAAAATCAAAAATTCTCAAAGAAATGTTCTGCAGCAAAAATGAAGATGGTTTTATTTAACAAAAGTAAATTTTTGCTATAGGAAACACAAATAAAAGTTGCCGAATATATTGTTTTATTTTGAAATATTTAGTTTATGTTGTTAAACGTTATTTTATGTTTTAAAATATCTGGTTAAATTTAAATTTTATTTTTAAACGTCATTTATTGTGATTATTTAACTGGTTTTATTTTTACTGTATTGTTAAACGGTTTTCAGTGACAGGATCTTACGATCCTCTTTGAGTCTCCGTGTTCTGATACTTAATGTACAACGATATTTATACCACAGTATATTGTAATAAGAACAAAAAAAAAAAAAAAAGAAAAGAAATTAAAACAGGTGCCAGGTCCTTTTTCATCATCTGCAGGAAATTGAGGACGGCCCGAAAAAAACTTTGGACTTATTCTTTATAACCTAAAACGCATGGTTGAAAACAATTCAATCTCTAAGTGTCAAATCAAATGGTTCAACAGCAAAAAAATTGACGTCATCGTAATCTTTTGTGTAGCGAAAAAAAAATTGGTAATAGATGATGAAAATTATTTATCTCTGAACTTATAGTGGCTCTATGAGATTTTCCCGTCTAATTTATGTGGTTAGTTATAATTTTCAGCAAATTATAACTAACCACACAATTATAATTAGAAGGTGTTTTACTGTTTCGATAAGTTCGTTAGTCTTTCAGCGTAACAATGCGCAGTTACCAATATTTTTGACCTTTTACACTTTGTAAGGGTGTAAGGGTATTTTTTTAAATGAGTCTTTAAATTTTCTTTGATTCTGTTTATTCTATTTGCTATAATTACAGAAACAGTGGTCGTGGCGTAATGGTTAAAGCGCTTGTTTTAGAAGCAAGAAATCAGGAAGAAGTAAGAAAAAGAAAGGGTTCTAAGCTTTTGGACATGTCGACATGCTTTGTGCCATCGCACAGTGGGCCAGAATTTTTTTTCAGGGGCCAAAAGTCCTAAAAAGTTGAATCTTCTAAACTTTTTTTTATTTTATTATTAAAACAGAGGTCCTTTACTCAACTCAAAAATGTATCCGTTTAATTACTAGATATGAAGGCATGCTTGCTAAAACCATTCATAATGGCTTTAAAAATGTCAAATTTTTGCAATTTTTCTTTTTTCAAAAATACTTATCCTTAAAATCTACATAAACTTTTTCAATTAAAAATGCTTTGGACTGTTTTTATTTTAAATAAACATATAAACTTAGTGCTTATAAAAAATATATGTTTTAGTTATATACTTAATTTATTCATAATATGTCTTGGAGTTGTTGGTATTTTAAAGGTGTTTTTCTAAATTTCTCTTATCTTCCTTTTTCTAAATGCCACTCAAAGATTGTTTAATTTTCTAATTTTTGCATTCCCTAAACGGTAGTTATTTTTCACACACAAAAAAAAAACAGCTGCGACCATGTATTCTTTATGATAAATTTTTTAGTTCAAAATCGACGACATTTTTTGCTTTTTTAAAAAGACCAATTTAAAGTTAAGATATTTGTGTAAGTAATATAGTTTTTTTTTTTTTTTTTTAATTTTCTTAAACACATCGAATCGTTTAACCGAATATTTAAAATAATTTTTTTTTAATTATTTTAATGTTTTCGAAAAAGGAAAAACTATAAATACATAAAAATCAAATATTTATGTATTCGATTCCAACCAAATGCCGCTATCCTTAGATTTGGTATTAATGATATTTAGAAAGTATAAAGGTTGTTTAATACTATTAAATAAAATCAGCTGCGACAAGCTATAACTTAGACTTTAAATCGATTTTGAAATTTCAAGATTTTAGACTAATTTAAATGGAAAAATTAGAAATAGAAAAATAAACAATGTTTGAGTGGCAATTAGAAAAAAGAAAGATGAGGAAATTTATAAAAAACAGCCTTAAAATACCAAAAACTCTAAGACATATTATGAATAAATTAAATACAAATATATAACTAAAACATATATTTTTTATAAGCGCTAAGTTAATATGTTTATTTAAAATAAAAAACAGTCCAAAGCTTTTTTAATTGAAAAAACTTATGTAGATTTTTAGGATAAGTATTTTTGAAAAAAAAAAAAGTTTACAAAAGTTTGACATTTTTAAAGCCATTATGAATGGTTCTAGCAAGCTTGCCTTCATATCTAGTAATTAAATGGATACATTTTTTAGTAGAGTAAAGGACCTCTGTTTTAATAATAAAATAAAATTTTTTTTAGAAGTTTTGACTTTTTTAGGACTTTTGGCCACGGAAAAAAAATTCTGGCCCACTGTGCATCGGTAAGGAAAGAGACGTGAATTTTCTAGCTAAATGCTCTTCCGCGGTGCTCTGTTACAAGACAGATAGATATTCTTGGGGTATCTAAAACAAAATTCAAAAAAGAAACTAAAAAAATTAACTTTTAGTATCAATTCAATATAATTAATACTATAAGCAACATACCACACACACACACACACACACACACACACACACACACACACACACACACACACACACACACACACACACACACACACACACACACACACATATACACAAATGAAATTAAATAAAATCAAATCAATATATTTTTACTTTAATGGTAACTGTATAAATAACTGTATATACAATCGTGCGATATACAATCGTGCAATATACAATCGCGCTTATAAAAAATATATGTTGCGATATACAATCGTGCAATATACAATCATTTATTAAATAATATAAATAATTTATATACATATGTATTTTAACTGTTGTTAAAATACATATATACATATGTATTTTAACTGTTGTTAAAATACATATGTATATAAATTATTTATATTATTTAATAAATGTGTATATATATAAATATATACATTTATTTATATTTATATATATATATATACATTATATATATA